CGAATCCTCAGGGTATCGGAGACGGCAAGATTTGAATACTTACTCTCTCTCTCTCTCTCTCTCTCTCTCTCTCTCTCTTTCTCTTTCTTTCTGCTGCTCCCTTTCCTCGCATTGGCCTCGCAGGCATTTTGCCGAGAGCCGAGGGTCGCAAGCAGAAGCAGCCAGGTCGCAACGGTAGCCGGTAGCCATAGATCGAGGCACTTCAGATTTCAATTCGTGCGGTGACATGCGCCATTATCATAGTCAAGTGGAAGACTCGGGGAAAGGGCAGCGGTGGCGATTGCCTGGGCCTCTGGCACTCTTGTGGTTGCCGCGCTGGGCTAGTTGGCTTTGTCCTTGCATGTCCGTGCTAAGATTTCTACTATTTCCTCCATACGGAGGGCACCTCGAGTAGCAAGTCCGACAGCATGACCACGGCTCGAATGTAGCATGTCGTTAAAATTGTCCAGGGGTTCGTCTGGCTGCAGGGAAACCAGTGGGCCTTTTAAAGCCACTATCCTGGCGCCCGGCACTCATGATCGGATACGGTTTGTTTTATGTGATGACACTCACATCGCTGAGATTCTTGTTGAACTTCGTCCGCTGGCAAGGAGTCGGCCAGACGAATGGGTGGGCCCCTGAGTGTGTCTCGACTAAGACCTCAATTAAATGTCCAGAAATCATAACCCAATTTGGAACAGGTCAGCTCGGAGGACCTTTCGATGCCGGTGCGGGACACAATGCCGGGTTGTCGCTGGGCTAGTCTTTGTGTGCAGGGGGTTGTTGCTTCCCGTCCGCTGAACCATTTCTTTGTGGTGAGGCCGTGAGTGGGGGCTCGACCGCCAGCTCAGCCCGAGGAACGGCACTCCAAGGCGGGCCACACCTGCTTGAGGATCTTGAGCCTGTCGATGCCGAGAAGCATATAGGGCTTGAGGGCTGGGTTGGGGGGGGAGGGCATTGGTAGTTTCCTGACTGGGAGATGCGGTTGTGTCTGCTCGTGTCTGCGGAGGCTCCGGATGGCGTGATCGTGCCGAGTGATCAGCAAGTGCACCCCCTGGATTTCGGGGGTTTGTGGGCTCCGAGTGCTTTTTTGTTTAGGTGGCGACACTCGTGCTTTGTTTGTTTGGTGCTTTGCAGCTTCAGTCCTGAAACCTATACAGCACTCGATCAAGTTTTCAGACGTCAAACCTCTGTGGGCGAGGAAGGCGACCGCTCTTTGGGGGCCTGTCTTTGCAGTTTATATACGCCTACATGTACAAGTATAGATAGATGGTCTGGGCGTTCGGGTTTGTGGCTTCCCAGCTCGTGGTGTGAGGGGTTTTCGGAGGTTCGGGGGTTGTGGGTGACGGGTGCTTCTTTTCGCTCAGGTGGTGCCAGCCGTGGACAAGCAGATGGTCTCGGCAGTCCTGGCCGATGAGGCCTGTTCGATCTCGGTGTTTCGGGGTGTTGGAGGTGCTGTGGGTCCTTCTCGGACTGTGGTCCTCTTGTTGTGACTCTGACATGGGGCTGATTGCATGGTCTGCCTGCATCGGGTTGGGATGGGTTGGGCTTTGCCGGTGCTCTTGTCCTCGAGCACGTCGTTGCAGCTCCTGAGCAGCCTCCTGCAGCGGAGGCTTCGCAATCAGTTGTGTAATTTCCGGGGCTGCGGTTGTTGTGGCTGGGTCTCTTCTCTTTTGGGCCACACGATCCATACGAGTCGAAGGTGTGCTGGGGAATATGGAGCTGGTGGTCTGGAGCTAGGGTTAGGGCGGTTAGGGTTCTGAGTGGCTTTTGCGGCGACTGTCGTGCTGTGCAAGATCATTTGCTAGGACCGTGCCAATGAATGGACTTTAACCACTTGTGGCCAGGCAGCCTCGTCGCTGCGGCATCGCCTCCTCCTCCTCTGCCGGCCTCGGAGCGTTGCGAGGGCCAGGTGGGTTTCGGGGCTTGTGGTCGCCAGGCGATTGCTTAGGTGGCGACAGTAGTCTTAGTGCAGTGCTGGCATGTGCTGACAGCAGTGCCGTAACTTGATGCAATTTGTGTGTGCTCGGACTAATGTGGTCCAAGAGGGGGCAAAACTTGCTTGATTGTGATTATCAGATTGAATCCCAGGTGTGAACACATGGCCTACTCATCCTGTAGGTCCCCATGAGGGCCGATGGTTGACAACATAAGCCACACTATTAAACCATGGCCTCGGGGGTTCTTTACCCAATTTTGGCAATACAGCGAGAACAACATGAGAGTGTGGAGGTTGGGAATCGCCGCATAAACTTGGTCTTAGCTGATACATGGGTTGCATTCATTTTAAGAAGGTTCGGCGGCCCGTTGGGTTGAACTGTGCTTCCTTCAGCACAGGTTGCCTGCAATCTAGACACATTGGGCGGCTCTTTGGGTTGCCCTGTGCAGATTGTGCATATATAGATCATCGACGGCGGACATATACGTCCGTTCGCTGAGCGGGCAGCAAACATGTCTTTGACGAGGTACATGAAGGCTCGTGAGCAATGCCTCGTTTCTACAGAAGCCCCCTGTGTAGCTGCGAGGCCCAGAGACATTTCTCTAATCAGAGCGGTTTTCTGGGTCGCTGCAGTGCATTTCTAAAGTAGCCCTATCCTTTGGATCGCCGCTGCAGTGTCCTCTTTTAGCGACTCGCCCCTTCGCAAAGCGACCTTGCGGGTCTCTGCAGTGTCTGCTGTAACCGTATATGCCGTATACATTTGCTGCACAACATTTGCATTAACCCGTAGAAGAGCGGTCCTCTGGGTCGCTGCAGCGTTGGCATCGTCCAGCGACTTGTCTCTTACAAGAGCGTCTTCCAGGTCGCTGCAGTGTGTAGTGTGCCGGACTTAGTTGCTGCACGGCATTCGTGTTAACCTCTTCAAGGGCGGTCCTCAGGGTGGCTGTAGCAGTGTCCTCACCCAGGGACTCTTATAAGAGCGGCCTTCCAGGTCGCTGCAGTGCATAGTGTAGCGCTATATAGTTACTGCACGATATTCGTCTTAACCTGGATAAGAGCGGTCCTCTCGGTCGCTCTAGCAGTGTCCTCATCCATGACTTCACTGGCCCATCATTGGAGGGAGGACTGCATCTGAGGGCCTTCTAAACCTGGCCCAGAACCCAGCCCCAGATCCGCAGGCCCCGCCCCAGAGGGCCCAGAAGTGGCCCGCACTAGAACGCACTAGAATGCACTAGAATCCGGGATGATCCCCTTGTAAGAGGATCCTATTATAACTGGACCCAGGCTGAGGGCCCAGAGGTGGCCCGCACTAGAACGTACTAGAATGCACTAGAATCAGAATCGGACCCGGCCGGCAGCAGTTTTGTGTCCAAAAGCAGCCCTGGGGGCCCTTGCTTTTTGCCATGGCCTTAGCCATGGACTTCGTGGAGAACCAGCAGGCAAGCCAACCTGAGGAGGCCTTTCCAGGGACTGCAGTGGTGGAAAGCCTGGGCGGAGCTGTCCAGACTGAAGGCCGTGGATAAGATTGACTGCACGCAAGCTTTGCTAAGGCTGCAGACCGAGCACTACCTTCTCTGTGTCCAAGCTTACGGATCACTGGCGGTTTCATGCTTGAAACAGGTAGAAAAGTGGGAGCCCTACGTGGAGACCGCTCCCTGAGAGACCAAGTGCCAGATGTAACGAGGGTGTGGCCAACAAAAACTATGACACGTTGATGCATCATCGTGCCTGGTCGGAAGCAGTGGCGATAAGAATGGTTATTTCCTCTCGCGAGCAGCTGCGAGTTTTCTTTGCAAAGCAGGCCGAAGGTTTCATGAAACCTATATTATGGAGCTGGTACATGGCCGCCACCGGACACAAGGCGATTTCCTATTGGAGCCTGTTCCAAGACACATTCTGCGATGCTTGAGGGATTCTGCGGACGGGCCTGTCCTCTTGGTCAGGCAGTATCGGTCGATGACAACAGCGGTCTTCAGCACTGTGTTTTGCTGCACATTGACTGTGCGAGTTGCGAGATTTGCGACGTGTGCGACATGCCTCCTGGTGGCTTTGCGAGAACGAGGATGTGGTGCGAGCCCTTCCGTGAGAAAAAAGAGTCCAAGCCAATGCTTTTAGCCTCTGGTGTCCCCCGATCTCAAGAACGGCGGTTTCAAGTCGCTGCCAACAACACCAAAGAAAGGCGGTTTCCAAGTTCAAGTCGCAAATAGCCACACCAAAACCCGGCATCACATGGCTTCTTTTCCATCAGCGGCGGTATCATATCGCTGCAAGTGCTATAGCCAAATAGTATTGCAACATGCACCAAAAAAGATAGGAAAAAATAAAAAAAAATACAAAAAGATAAAAAATGATAACCATGACATATATAAGATAACAGACATCATGTTAGAAGATATTTTAGCCGTTATCTTGCCTCTAAGTAGATATATCTTCGGGCGACCAACCGTGTAAGGAAGAAAAAATTAAAGTTACCATAAACGGGATCTATAGTAAATATTCTGGTGTTCTTATTATGGTCCTAACTGTGTTAACTTATACAGTAGAAGCCAGAAAGTTGGAATATCATTATCGTAACCCCTTTAAAGTAAATTATAGGGTATCCTACCATGAAACCATATTCCAACTTTCTGGAGTTCCCTGTAATTGTGTTAATTCATATTACTTCAACAAATCCCTTAACGTTTTACCCACTCTCTCCATCGGCTTCGCGCGCCTTTGGAATCCTCTTCCAGAGCATGTATCCGAACTTCTGAACTACCCTAGGGCTCCATAGTAGTTCGTTTTTGGGATTACCTTATAGGATTCTATATATGAACCCCAAAAAGGAACTACTATGGAGCCTTAGGGTAGGCTGAATTCAGTTCTGATCTGCTGCGGAAACACAGTTCCTCCTATGACGGAGTGACAGATGCAAAGGGCTTGGTTCTAACTTTGTATCAAATCCCTTGACAAGAACCCAGAAACACAAAAGCTTAAGACACGACCCCGAGACTTCAACGCCACAAGCCCTACACCATCCTCCTTAAAGCTAAACATGAGCTCTGAGCCCTACACCCAGAAACCCTAAGTCTCTGCGTCGGAGGTCGCGGCTAACACCTGCGCGATGCCGCTGAGCACAGCTCCAGCGCTCAAGACTGGCACTGTGCAGGGAAACAACGTAGGCCGGAGCTTTTCAGGAATTAGGCTTAGGTTTAGTGTTTAGGGGTTTAGGGTTTAGGGTGCTGCGGGGTCGGGTTCTGCTTTTTGTGAGGACGTTTAGGGTTTGGTTGAGCGGAGCTGGCGTCTACTGTAGTTGGAGTCGCATTGAGATTGAGCTCTGAGGTGTCCAGGGCTTTGGGATTTCAGTGAATTGGTTTTGAAAAGTTTTGTGTTCTTCCAACTTAGTTCGGGCTGCATCTTCGAAAATTTCAAACTCTCGGCGGATATCAGTACTCTGTCCTTTCTTTGGACAGGCTATAGTGCACAGGGCATGAAGTTTCTGCTTGTCTTTCATACGCCTGAGACACATTTGCGCTGCTTCCTTCCGGTACCATTCCTGTCGCTTTACCAGTTACCTCCTATCGTCTTGTTGCCTTGTTCATTCCTTACTCAGATGCCATGAAGGTACATACTGGCAAGATCGGCTTCGGGCCGACAAGATTGAGGTCTCCTATATGAGTACGTAACTTGATTACATAAACCGCTTAAGCAAGTCCCTTCAATTCTGGGAGAATGATATCTTCCAGTGCCGTCAGCCGATCACTCGATGTCCGACCAAGCTCTCTGGGATTTCCGATGCAGGGATGTAGGCGTATTTAGTTTCTTCTTTCATCGGCTTAGGCGCACAAAGCCTTGCAGACATGGCCCTTTTCAGGCGTGGTGGACACCATCATCGGAAGGGCTGCAGGAGGCGGGTCAAGGTTGCGGGGTTTGGCTCCAGCAACACCCAAGACAACTCAGGGATCCATTGCAAATGTGGGAAAAGAGCCGAGGATTCAGGCAACTTTTGCAGCCAAGCACTGTAGATGTCTGTAGATGTTCATGGATTGAAGATTCCTTACATGGTTCGAAAAGGTTGACCTGCAAGAGAGATCCCTTGAAATCGACTCCTCCTCACACATCACTCGTCGATGGAGTACTTGGGTCGGTCTGCTTGAAGCGTAAGAAACTGTCGCGCCACCCCTGTTCCAGCAAGCTCAATGGGATCGGTTTGAGGACTTGAGGATGTGACTTGTAAGTTCCAATTAAGGATTCAGGATCGTGCATGGTTCCTGCCATGTAGAAACTCATAAGGCAGCTGTTCTGGCTGCTGCATGTTTTTCTCCTTGGGTTTAGGGAATTCCGTGGAAGAGAACCCGTGAAGCCTATTGGGGTTGCCGAAGCCCTGTTTCCAGGGTCCCAAAGGTAGTATAGCTCCGCTCTGTAACATGAAACTCACTGAGGGTTTAGGGTTTATAATTCAATCCGAAGACATATTCCGAGGCGTGCACAGCCTTGAAATGCAGCTTCGTGATGGCACAGTCCATGCGCACGGGACGGAGGGTGGCGCGGTACCCACTACATTCTCGTCTCTCGGCGTGAAGGGTTTTCGAACTTGGGGCTTTTCGATATTTGGGTTTCAGAGTTTGTAGGTTAGGCTGCAGATGTCATCTAGCATCAGCCTTCTGTCTATTTGGAATCCGTATGTTCGCCGAAAACCCTAAAGCCGAAACCCGAAGCCCAACAGCTGAAAGCCTCAAAGCCCTAAACCCCTAGCCCTGGCCCTCACTAGCCGTAAAAGCCCCACTACGGCTGCGAGGCACAAAGCCTGAGCACTTCAGCCCCAGAAACCGAAACTTCGACACCAAAGCGGACTCTTCGAAGCTGCAAGGTTGGAAGCAGACGAGCTGCACCTCGAAATCTATTTGGGCTAATGAAAAAATCAGCGTGTTTACAGTTTATAGTACGTATTGTGTTTTGGTCTATATTACGGTTACGACTTGTGGTTTTGGGATACTTAGACGTTTAGGCGTCCGGAGGCTTTGTGTTCAGGGCTCTTGCGTTCAGGGCCGAAGGATTTCGGGCTCTAGAGGTTGAGGGGTTATTGTTTATTGCTTAAGGCCTGGGGTCTGGAACAGCTCAATGCAAAGCTTGACCTACATCGCCTTCCTCCACGCCACTGCCTTGATTCAGCCGTTCAGATCGAAAGGTGTGATCCCTAGTGCCCGGAACTTTGCACATGAATTTCTTCCTGACCTTCAGGATCGTCGGGGTCATGCAGGACTTCTCCCTCACTGAACTGCTGGGGAGCGCTTTGGTCTTCTACACCAGCAAGGGCCGTCCCAGGGCTGCAACGGTTTTGGGGCTTGTGGGCTTGGGGGTGTCCAAGAAGCCTTGCTTCACAGCCATAGTGCACGATGCAGCGTCCGAAAAACGGCAGCAGCCTCGAACCAGCACATGCTTACCGTAGACATCGTTGGACCAGTTTTTATGTCTGGTGTATTCCTTAATTTCGCGGCATTGTTCACTTTGCGCAGATTCTGGAACATCCCTTAGCAGTTCTGCCGACGGCATGGTGCAGAAGTTTCGTTCCCATAGCCCACCATCCAAATAGGAATCAGCCCGAAGTCATAGCCATAGCCGATCCCAGCCCTAAACCCTAAGCTGTGCAAATCCTAAGAGCCGAAACCGTAACATCGCAAGCTTCTGAAATCCCGGCTGTCAACACTGCTGAAGCCATGGAAGACCCAATTCACTAGATACATGACACCCTATGGTTTACATAGACCTAAATGCTTGAAAGCCCAACAGTGCAACTCCTGGAAACCTCAGCTTCTACAGACAAAGCACAAAAGGCTTGAAAGCGGCGACAGACTGAAGGGGCCTGGACTGAGGAGCCTAAAAGCCCTGAACTCCTGAACCGTAAACCTTAAATCTTACGTTCCCCTTTGGAAGGAGACAAAACCTTAAGTCCATCTGTTCAAGTATGTTCCCCTTTGGAAGCAGACAGAACCTTAACTCCATCTGTTCAAGTCCGAGGCATCATGGCCGTGCAGGGGACGGAGGCCCGAACGCGCCGTCGCTTCGTCGCCCCGGGGGGTCGGCAAATCTCAGGCTCACGTCAAGGGGGGGGAGGGGGGGTGGGGGGGGGGGTGGGAGACTTATATGGTGTTTAGGGCTGTAAAGTCTATGGTTAAGGGTTGATAGGGTTTATCGGGATTAGTAAGTCACTTAGTGTTTAGTTTAGGGCTGTAACGTCTATGGTTAAGGGTTGATAGGGTTTATCAGGGTTTAGTGCTCAGTCTGTCTGGCTAAGTCTATGGTACAAGGCTTCGGGTTACCAGGAATCTCAAAAGCATCCTCCATAGAGGCCTCACAATCGGTGATAGCGCGTGTTCGGGTTCTAAAACAATGGTGGGTATCTGGGCTCTCTTACACATGTATGTAAGTAAGATTTCTGGCGTTTTTAGGCTTTAGGGTTTCGTGCTGCATGCAGCTTGTGTGATTACGGTACTAAGGTTTGAGGCTTTGGCAGCAAGGCTCTGGCTCCAATATAGGGGCCTTCGTAATCGCCTATACTTTCTTTTTTTGGGGGGGGCTTCCTTATTATGTATATAGTATAAATTGGCCCCAAAACCCTGTTCTAATTGTCAAAGGCCTTTATAGTAATGTGACTGGCTTAGAATGTGGGGTCTGGGGTACTGAGATCTGTGGGGATTGAAGATTGAGAGAACAAGTGCAAAGTACGAACTCGAAGCCCCTGCGATCCCCGCAGCCCTGAACTTTTAACTTAACTATCGCAGCTCACTGCTACACCCCGAAGCCAAATTGAAACAGCTCCCTGAAGCTCCGACAAGCAAAAACAAACTCAGAAGGAGCCACCCAAAGCCTGCAATCCTCTCGCGCGCGTGCAACCATCATCATGCAACTCCCAAACTTCGTTCACTTTACTTGGGGTTCTGCCTTCAAGCGCGGCTCAGTTGAAAAAGCCGAGATGACGAAGCCCCAAGCCCTGAAATCCCAAAGTCGTGAACCGCGAAGCATTGCAGACTGCACCCAGAGACCCTAAAGCCCGGAGCCCTCCAAAAATTCAAATCCGTCCAAAACTGAAAGCCCTAGATCCGATAACCCTCAACCCTAAACCCTGAACCCTAAACCCCAAACCCTGTGAGCCTCAGACCCTGTAATCCGATAACCCTGAACCCTATACCATCAAACTCCCCAGACCCCAGGGCCAAAGCCACTAGGACCTAGAGTACGCCCCTATTCCCTTATTCTAGGGTTCAGGTTCCCTTATAAGCCCCTTTAAGCCAAAAAGGGCACCCTTCTTATTCCTAGGCTACTCAGGGGTCTAGGCCAGGAAGCCCCCAAACTCGAAAAGTTGATCCCTAAACCCCAAGCTCTAAGCCCGAAGCCGAAGCTCAAAACCCCTAAACCCTAACCCCCCCCCCGCAACAAAAAAAAAAACTAAACCCTAAACCTTAAAGTTTAGGGTTTAGGGTTTCCCTCAACTCTAAACTCTAAAGCCTTGTCTGCAGGTTTGCAGTTCGATGGACATCAGCTCGTGGGGATCCATCTCGAGCACCGCAGTCGCATTTTTCTTGGCTCAGGGGGTTTGCGGTTTTCGGGTTATAGGGTTTAAGGATGTTTAAGGTTTAGGTTTTAGGGTCTAGTTTACCGTCTTGGTTTTCGTTCTTTCATTGCATGCTTGGGTGGTCGTGACGTGGGCCCAAACTCTGAAGCCCATGCGCCCTAGGCTCCCAAGCCCTAAGATCCTGCAGGCCATCCCTGAATCCCTGAAACCTTAAGCCCTGCCAGAACCCATTAAAAAAACGCCACCTTTTGTTGTCTAACTGTATAAGGAAATCATAGACAAGAACCGCTAACACGTACGCCGTTTAGTGTCCAGCTAGACCTTCAACGTGAAAGCGACGGTTTGTCACCGTTTCTTTGTGCGCCTGCTCGCCTCAGGCTTTTCACCGAGTGGGTCAAGCGTCAGATTGTTTTGTTTTGTATATGTGCGCCCTAAACCCTGAACCCTGGGGTTCAGAGTTTTGGGGATGTTGAACTCTGCGCTAGACTGGGATGAATCCTGCCTGCCTTACCTCGTGGACTCTTGTCTCAAGAAGCGTAGACTCAATCATAACTCCAAAAGCGTCGCTAGAATGGGCGGAGGGAGGGGTTTATCAACTTCGGGGCTCTGCTGAGGTCCGACTTGAGATCGGAATGTGCATGACACTGGCTAGCACGATAGGAGTCAAGTTTGAGTAAAGCCAGCATGGAGCAGAGTGGGCAGAACTAGAGGATGTTTCTGGGCTCCTTCATCCGGGCTGAGCAGACCCTGCAGATCGGAATTCACGAATAGCTTACAGGAAGAAGGGACCCTGCAGTTGGGACTTGCCAACAGCTGGCCCCAAGACAGAAGAGACACCAGGTCCCTCGGGGCCATCCTGCCCTCAACAACAAGCGCAAATATAACGTCACCTCGCAACTCCAGGGCTTGTTGAAGACATTTGCATTTTTGGGTGGGAGCTTACAGAGAGCCCTAACAAACCCTAAGGGTCCATGTACCCATATAGCATTTACTTTGGGCCCAATGTACCTATATAGAGAGTACTTTAAGGCCAATGTATATACTATATGAGTACATGGACCCTTATACCCTATACCCTTATGGATCCCTTATAGATCCCTTTAAAGGAACCCTTATGGTACGCTTAAAGGAACCCTAAAGCTTTCATGGGAGCCCTCAACTCTGGTCTTGGCAGCCCAAACCCCGGGGCCTAAAGTCCAGACCCAGGACTTTGAGCCCTAAGCGCTATGAGCCCTGAACCCCCAAAACCACATTAGAAGCATAGCGTATGATGTAGGTTTCCATGGCTTAATCTGCAGTATCATGTAGTGTACCAAGTAGAATGTGAAGCCATTCAACAAGATTGCGCCTGGCGTGCAAATTCTGCATCCGATTTCCTCGAGGAAAGTCACCACCGAGAGCCTGGGAGCTATAGAGCAGATCCTTGGACTCGGTTAGGTATTTTGGGGCTGTAGGGTTTCAGGGTTTAGGGCTTTGGGGTTTAGGGTTCTGTGGGGGTTTCAGACAGAGCCCTAAGGGTCCAAATATATGATAATCATATACTCTCTTAAATATTGAGCTACATAACTACTATCCTAAGCCCAAGTACCTAATTATTGGGTCCTTTGGACCCTTAGGGGAGTGGCTTAGGCAGAAATGTTGAGGGTCTAGCTCTGCTTGGGCTTCAGGGGTTTAGCATCTGCTTAGGGTTTCGGGCTGAAGGGCTTCGGTTTATTGAGTTCGAGTTTCGGTTTAGGATCTAGGACCTAGAGTAGGCCCTTATTCCTTTTTTTGGGGTTCAGGTTCCCTTATAAGCCCCTTTAAACCAAAAAGGGCATCCTTTTTATGCCTGGGTTACTCTTGGGTCTAGTTTCGGTTTAGGATTTAGGTGCTTATAAGTTTAAGCTTTGGGTGCAAGGTTTTTGAAGGATCAACTACCCCGGGTTTAGATTTTAGGGTCAGGGTTGTGACGTATTACGAGTCTCGCCATTCGCCTTCTTGAGGTCTTTGAGGCTACTGTGCGCTTCTGTGCACTAGGCTTGCACAATGTTTGAAGGCTGTCCAGCGTGGGGAGCGCATTTTGGGACATGGTTTGAAGGCTCGGCGCTGACTATATCGGTGATTTGCCGTTGCTTTTGTTTTTTTCTCTATGGAAGCTATCTATCTGTCTATCTACCTTATACTATAAGGTGTGTGTGTATATATATATATATATACATACATACATACATACATACATACATACATACATATATATATATATATATGTGTGTGTTGTATAGATCCCAGGATCTCTGGCCGTGTGGGCACGGCGGTGGACATCTGTGAGTTCAAGCTGCGGGATGGCACAGTCTGTACATATGGAAACTTGGCTAATGTAGGGTTTAGGGTTTAGGGGAACACTTTGGGTTTTTGTTTTAGGTTTCCTTATATGAATCCTACTATTTTGCGGTTCTAGGCCCAGGGTGTCTTAATCAGGTTCCTACATTATTTTCGGTGTGTCTCGGTTCAGGGTTTAGGGACCTGAGTAAACTACAGATTCACCTCCAAAGAGGCAGACTTCCAAAACTGACCACAATCTGATGGCAGTCCTAACATGTTTGCAGCCTAAATCCGTCAAGTTCTATCGCCTTCAAGCCCTAAACCCTAAACCCTAAACTTCAGCCCCAGACTACAAGCGCCAACAGAAATGGAAAGCCAGTTTGAGACTCGCTACAGCCCTGAGTCCAAAACGTTCCTAGAAGACTGAAACCCGGCAACCCCGAATTGAGGGCTTTGAGTGGTCAGGGTTTCGGGTTCAAGGTGATTCCGGCGGAGACATCGTCCGAGGGCCGTGGAAACTGCAGCGAGAGGAGTGGATTTTCGTGGTGGAGCACCTTGGAACATTTGAAGTTATAGTGTACAGTTTGGGGGGGGTTTAATGCATGTGACATTTCAGAGGTCCACTTCATTCCAAGTTGGAATATGTGTGTGTGTGTGTATGTGTGTGTGTGTGTGTGCACGAGGGCGTCCGTCGGCTCTCCTCCCTCAACGACCCAGCTGTGGTCTGTGTGTGTGTGTGCGCCTCCGTGTCTGCGGGTCTGTGTTCCTGTTTCTCTGACTCGCTCTCTCTCTCTCTCTCTGTCTCTTCTCTGTGTCCGTCTGTCTGTGTGTCCGTGTCCGTGTCTGTGTCGGTGTGTGGGTGCACACTTTTCCGGTCTTTCACGTGCCTGCTGCATAGGTGTTAGGCATTCTGAATTTTCTAAATCAACGTTTATGGTAGGTTGTTGTCCTTTGTTTAGGGTGCGCCGAGGTCACGAAAGGTTTCCTTGTTGGAGGGCTCAACCGCGCAACGCTCAGCTTTGCACAGTCCTAAAGCCTAATTTAATTAAGCAATGAACGGCACGATCCCTAAACCCTAAGGGTCCATGTACCCATATAGAGATACATGAGCCCCAAAGTACCTATATAGGGACTACATTAAGGCCAATGTATATACTATATGAGTACATGGACCCTTATACCCTATACCCTTATGGATCCCTTATAGATCCCTTTAAAGGAGCCCTTATGGTACCCTTAAAGGAACCCTATTTGAGCACATGGACCCTTAGGGAAGCTTGATCGGAAACGTAATTCAGGCAATTCTTCCGCGACCGGAAGCTGGGTGCCTCACTGGCGTTCTATACTACGGCGGGCAGGGTCTACAAGCTCTCAGGCGCCTGGTTGTGAAGCGGAGTTTAGGGGCTCGTGGTTTAGGGTTGAGTTAGGGTCATGTAGGGTTTAGTTACATGAATTACGATCATTCATGGGGTTGTGCGGCAGGGTTTGGGGTTAATTATGGATTAGACAGGATTTAGGGTTTAGTTCGGCTTATATAGGGTTGAACTTAGGGCCTTCAACCACCCAATTGTCGAAGTCTCATCGAGTTGACGTGGGTTGCTGTTCACTCAATGCTTGGAAAAAACCTCCTAGCGCCCATGACCCAGTAACCGGTTCTTATCCTACATTTAAGTGAGAGCTCCGCAGGCATGACCGCGGTGAGATCACCTCGCTTTGCTGCCCCTTTCGGCGAGCAGGTGGGAGCGGTGCTACAATGTTTCAGAGTTGCTGGGCCTTGGGGTTCTTGCGTACCATGGAACGTGAGGAGTGATGGCAATCAGCTGTCGAGGAATCCTAGACCCCAACCAGGGAGTTACCAACCTGAGCCGTCAGGGAAACCAAGACGTAACCCCGTGAATCACAGAAGTCGGACTCAGAGCTATCGCTTTGACCTCCCGAAATGCTACCTACTTCAGGACCCCTTTTCTTTCTGTGGCCTATTGGGGTAGCAAGACAAATGCCCTGTATTGAAATGCTGGGTTTCCCGGAAGACCAAGCTTGCTACACTCGAACTTCCCCAGCAGTCAATGCAGCGAATATGGATAATCATGTACTGCGCCCCCCCCTCCGGTACGAGCCGTGAGCTAACAATGACAGCGCCCAAATACCTCATTTTAGGTATTCTGGAACACTTAGGGTAGTCGGCTGCGAAGGTTTGCGACCTGTGCTTCGAGAATGGTAGCACCTTGGCCGTGCTTACACGGTTGTTCATCAGAAACCTACCCTGAGGGTCCATGTACCCAAATAGTATATACTTTGGGCCCAATGTACCTATATGTATATACTATTTGGGTACATGGACCCTCAGGGCTAATTACGTCTTTGCTTCATGGGTGTAAGAGGCGATGTAGCGCAGAAGCTTGGAAGCTTGGCCCTGAAACCCCGGCGACATGCGTCACTGCGTGCTACAAGTGCCAAGAGCTGTTGAGCGAAAGGGCAGGAACGAAGACCTTAGCCAAACGGTCGCACCCAAACGCTTAGGCCTGACGCCTGGAGACAATACAGCCATACACTCACATCACATCATGAAAACAAGTCTTAATGTCGCTTCTGGTCTTAAAGCAACATAATGAAAAGAGCCACTCTAGCATCCCTTGTCCAATCAACAAATCTATGTCTGGCCATGATCCAACTGTGCAGCACGTTATACCCTACATTTTGTTTCGTAAGGCGTTGCTCCCGAAGATTGTTTAGCATGTGTCGTGTGACATTTTCGGTGCCCGCCGCCATGATAAACTGATAATGTAAATGGCTCATATCCTGACGAACTTGAGAACCCAAGGCCACCCCTTCAGAGGTACCTGATCCTCTTTCAGATGCTCCTTGAAGCCCGAGGCAGTATGTTTCCGGTATCCGTCCTAGCTAAACCACAACTCTAGTACAGGCTTCGAAGTATTGTTCCTTTGAGCTGCTTAGTAACTGGCTTAGTAACAATGAAAGCATCATATACCCTAGTAAGGCCCCTCATATCATGTCAATACATAAGTTTCCCATACACCAAGGACTGGTGAAGGTCCTGACCTGCTCCTGCAGGGGATTTTCCGCAGGGCCATGTAAGGAACATGTGATCGAGATCTAGGGGTTCCTGAGTCTGAATGCTCAGGGTTTGGAATTCCCGAGTTTCCGAAAATTTGGGGTACCGTATTTGGGGGGGGGGGTCCTTACAATAAGGATCCCACTATTTAGGGTACTATATTAGGGGATCTCCCATGTTGGTATTTGGGTTTTAGTGTGCGTAGGAGTTTTCGCGGTCATAGGTTCAGAGAGAACAGTAGCACAGGAGACCACAAAACTCCGTACTGGGGCCTCCCATGCCAGAGGTGTGTGCCCGTTGGGGCTGCCCAGTGTACAGATGTAGTTCGTGCAGCATCCGAGAGGTCTTCCCTTGTTTGCGAAGCTCGGAGACCAAAGCTTTATCCTATGTCACTGCGGAAGCTTGGACATTGGGATTTGCTGTTTTGCGCCGCTGTTGGGTCTGAGAGGATCTGACCTACGATTCCTGTTCAAAAGAAATTGAAGGGCCAACCAAGTAGGCACTAAGCCACCAGACCTTGAAGCTGTTGTCCGAAAGGTCATACTCTATCCATACCTATACAGGATGCGAACCTTAGAGCCTTAGACCCTGGAGAACACCGGCAAAAAGCCAGGCCGTAAATTGGGCCCCCGACCGTAAAACGATTGTTTCTAGGTGGAGGGATTCTGGTGGGCTTTCGGCCAAGTCTTCAAACGCAGCCAAAAACTACCACCTTTAACGCAGAGGTTTAATCTAGTAAGCATACATCACCGAAAGTATACTAAGTGATTTTGGAATTGAAGCACTTGCCTGCGGTCCGCAGATTGCTCTTGTTTCTGGGGTACACCCCAGATGCATGGTAATGGAACAAGAAACATCACAACGACATTGCAGAACCGTCATTGATATATCCCTTCCCCCACACACCTTTAAATACTTTCACAGGGCAGAGAACACTTCCACTAGCTGGTTCCACACCATAGGCCCTAGCCAATCAGCCCTCAAACTCCAAACCCGAAGGCATGAAGCCCAGGAGTAAGATCTCTCGGGTGTGCTATCAGTTTCTGTGCATTAGTTTGCGTTGGCGGCAGCTGAGCAAGTGGGCTTCGGCCGTCGCCAGAAATGTCACCAGGCCCTTAGTGTTCGAGGCTTCGGGTATATTCGGGCTTTCGATGTTTGAGAGTTTTTTCGAGCTACCGTATTTACTGAGCACAGTGAGGATGCGAGCAGAATGCGAGTGTGATATGGGTGGTTGTCATAATGAGGGTCCCTTTTGGGATCCTTAATATAACCCGGCACCTATTATTTAAGGTACCCTAAAAGGGACCCTTATTTTGACCACCACCCATATGAAGGTTCATCCTCTTGAGTTGTCTTTGTCACGGGCTACTCCTCTGTGGTTATGCATGGACAGCAGCCGGCTACGTAGGACGCCGGGCTTCTAGCCCATCAGTATACAAATAATTCCATAGTAATTGCGGTCATTTGCATTGTCAGTCATGATCATCATTATCATCATCACATCGTAGCCATCACATCGTAAGCGTCATCATCGTCATCATCATCACAGCCAGAGTCAACTTATCATCATTCTGTGACACGAAGCTCGGTCCTCAGCAGGCGCCTAGCATCTACAAGTTTCACAGGTGCAAGACGCGCCGGAAACCCACCAGACACAGCATTGCTTTCAAAGACAAGAGGATATCGAATGGATCTTAGGGTTTCAGGAACTATAATGGCTGCAAGATAAAGGCTTCCGGAGTCGGGATTCATTTGATGCGTACTGCCACCGCCCCTTCCCCCCCCAACCCACCCACTCGCCCCCTTGAGCTTGAATGCTGCCCCCACTCAGTAACAGTTGGATAGTTCATATTCATAACCTCGCTATATGAGGTCCTTAATAGTAGCCGCCCTATTATAGACTGTTACTGTATTGGGGCAGTGGGGGTTTAGGGTTTAGGGTTTAGGGCAGTATCCAACCTTGAGCTCTGACGAATCCCAAGGTCCCGTCGGGCTCTGCAGAAGAGACCCTCAGAGCCCAAGCGTCCCTTCTCTTTGCCAGGAACTACCGAAAGTCTCCATTGTAGTCCCTTCTTGTGGTTACCTTATAGGATCCTTAATATATAGTTGGTTAAACCAAACAAAGGAACTACAATGGAGACTATAGGTAGTTGAACTACTATAGGGGCCTGAATAATTACCAATACTATTTTGGGGTTCCTACTTCTAATGGGCCCCAAAACCCTACTCTTATTTTTAAGGCCCCTATATTAGCTTTCAGAGCGTGGCTTGCCCAAACCTTTTTGCCTCGACAGTAGGAGCGACATGGCGAAGGAAACATGCCGAAGCGAGATTGGAAGCCCAGTTTTAGGATGTGGCGCCAACCGTTTGCCTCCAACTGCCTCAACAAGCCTTACTCGTCTGTCTTTACACCCGATTCGATCCTGCACGCTCCAAAACCTTATCTGCAAACCTGGAATTATATCCTGTTCTGCAAATCCTTCAAGCCCTCACGCCGAAAGTCCTAAGCCCACAACCCTGAAGCCCTGAAGCCGAGACCCGAACCTCTCAACCCGAAACCCTGCAGAAGCGTCCAGGAGCTACCGTCTCTTCGGCTGCTGGACATTTCGAAGTGCCTCCTGGAGAGCGAGAAACCGCTGGAGGCAGTCCGGCACTCCATGTTTTCCCTTGGCAGCGAATAAACATGGGATCTCAGGGGGTATTGGCTGCTACCTAGGTTCTTTCAGATGCTGCTGCTGCACACAGCAAAACTTAAGCCACTTGTCCAAGCATTCTGGCTTCTGTATTACATGCAGAAGCCTCAGCAGTATTCTGGTGCCTATTATGTTGACACGCACACACACCCTCCCTCTCTCTCTCTCTCTCTCTCTCTCTCTCTCTCTCTCTCTCTCTCTCTCTCTCTCTCTATTGCTTTGTTTCTCTCTCTCTCTCTCTCTCTCTCTCGCCCTCTCTCTTGCTTTGTTTTCTCTCTCTCTCTCTCTCTCTCTCTCTCGTTCCTCTTTCTCTCCCTCTACATAACACATGTATACACATAGGTATGTAGGCGTATGTATGTGTATGTATATATATATACACATAGATGTACACACATATACAGATACACATATGTGTAAATATGCATATAGGAATAGGAAGTATGAATGTTGAGTGAACTTCACGTATATGCATAGCTATGTATGTATCATACATACATATACATGAACATATACACATGCCTCTACATATACATATACGTGTATACCTACCTAACTACCTAGGTACGTACGCTCATACTTGCATGCATCCATTCATTCATACATACATGCATGCATGTATACATGCATACCTTCATGCATACTTGCATATGTGCATACTTGCATACACGCACACGTGCAAACGTGCTCACGTGCATCCATGCATGCATGAGGACATACGTACATAGGTACACACATCCGTATTTGCATGCATACATACATACATAGATACATACCACATGAACACCTGAACTATACAGGTTGGCTGTAACAACCCCTTTCACCGTACCTGCTTAATGAATCGTAGTCATTTCCGACGACATCACAACCTGCACTCTTTCAGTTGAGGCGTTGCGGCAGCTGCCCCTGCTTAGGAATCTCCAGGCTGCATGGGGAATGCTGAGGGCGGGGTATGTTTTGGAGGTTTGGGACTTTTGTGGCTTCTGAACCACCACTAACACCACCACCATCATCATCATTCTCATCATCATCATCATAACTATCGGTAACACGAACTGTGACACATGAGCAGCAGCAACAACAACAACACTCACCATCATGCCAAGGGAGGCAATACACTATGGGCTAAACATTTCCTTCATTGTACACTTCAAAATAGTACCGCTATAGCATACTGTGGTTCCTTTCATTCGTGCTACTTGCACAGTTCGCGTGATCTGTTTTTTCGCTGGTGTCAACTCTGACTTCCTTGCGAATGGGTGTTGTATGTATGGGGGGAGCTAGGGTAAAAAGTTGAAGCCTAAGCCCTAGTGAACCTTAACAACCTAAGCCCTGGTCCTGGTATACCCATATAGGCTCCATAGTAGTTCCTTTTTGGGGTTCATATATAGAATCCTATACCGTAATCCCAAAGGAACTACTATGGAGCCCTAGGGTACACCCCATTTCCCTAGGCGCTAGCGAAACCACCAGGCGGCTATGAAACCTTGCAGGTCCCGACAGCCGACGAGCATCGGCTGTCAGGCTACCCTATCCGTTAAAGGCACCCCAGGAAACGCTTCAAGCATTTTCGGGTTAGGAATTTAGGATTTCGTTTTCAGGGTTAAAGCTTTATGCATGGGTTTGCGGCTTGCTCGGTGCCACTGCTGCGGCTCAATAGCTCTTTAAACAGGAGCTCTCTCGCCTCCGCGGAGGCTTCATGGACACCCGCCACCCTAAATCCTAACTACCCTTGTGAAGAAATCTGAGCGACAGTTCTTACGGGGGTTTCGAGTTTGAGGTTTAGGTTCTGAGCGGTAGCTGAACGAGTCTGAGGACCCATCCAGTAAATGTTGAGGTCCAAAACGAAAATGACTTTATTGGACTTCTTCTGGTACTTCAACTCTTTGTGATGTAGATGGTTTCAGGAAGCCTTGGGTTCGTTCTTTCGGGATGGTAACTAGTCCCCCCTGAGCTCTGTGCAGCTTCGGGCTTCATTCACCGAAGACCCCACCTCCAACCCAGCATATAGGGTTTAGGGTTTAGGGTATAGTATGAAGGTCGGAATAGTTTGTAACTGCATGTCTCTTACGGCCCCTTACACTATGTTGTTGTGTAGGCCACATCTCCACAAAGTGCAGAGAGGCAGAACTCGAGTCAACATTTCCAAACCTTCTTTGTAAGAATCGCGCAATGTGGCGAAGATTGCTTTTGGGGGTCCGAGTCCCTTCCGTTTAGTTTAGCGGTTGACATGCTGCGCATTCGCACAGTGTCCGGTGAAGAGCTCTTTGCCCTTGACTTGGCGAACTTTCATGAGACGCTGCCTGCGGGCGTGTATCCAGTTAGGGCATTGAAGCAACACATACACGGCATATGTGGGCTGTCAAGGTTCAGGCAAAGACTGGTATATATGGATGACGGTGCGGTTCTAGATGACGATCGCACCTTGAGAATCGGCGAAGTTCAGGTCCTCCTTCTAAACTTCTGCCCACCGTCTACCGCGCTTCGGGATGCTGCAAGAAGCGGCCATACATCAGAAGTGGAGGATCTTCTACAGGGGCCGCAAGACCCAGACTCAGTATGTTTGGGTCATCCAACCCCACTGTTGGTGGCATCCGAGCACGGCCACCTCGAGGTGACACGCCTGTTGCTGGAGGCCAATGCAGACAAGGAGAAAGCCAATCAGGACGGCGCCACTCCTTTGTATGTCGCAGCTCAGAACGGACATTTGGAGGTTGCACGGCTTTTGCTGGAGGCCAATGCGGACAAGGACAAGGCATTACAAGATGGCACCACGTCTTTGTGCGTCGCAGCTCAGAATGGTTGCTTGGAGGTTGTGCGGCTTTTGCTTTGGGCCGATGCGGATAAGGATAAAGCCGAGCAGGATGGCGCCACCCCTTTGTTCATCGCAGCCCAGAACGGACAGTTGGAGGTTGTGCGGCTTTTGCTCTGGGCCAATGCGGATAAGGATAAAGCCGAGCAGGATGGCGCCACCCCTTTGTTCATCGCAGCCCAGAATGGAGAGTTGGAGGTTGCAAGACTTTTGCTGGAGGCCAATGTGGACAAGGACCAGGCTAATCAGAACGGTGCCAGTCCTTTGTTCATCGCAGCTCAGACTGGACAGTTGGAGGTTGTTCGGCTTTTACTAGGGGCCACTGTGGACAAGGACAAGGCCAATCACAACGGCATCACTCCTTTGTATGTTGCAGCTCAGAATGGATGCTTGGACGTTGTGCGGGCTTTGCTTTGGGCGAATGCAGATAAGGATAAAGCCAGGCATCATGGCATCACTCCTGTGTTCATCGCAGCTTACAAGGGACACTTGGAGGTTGTAAGGCTTTTGCTGGAGGCCAACGCGGACAAGGACAAGGCATTGGAAGATAGCGCCACCCCTTTGTGTGTCGCATCTCAGAATGGATGGCTGGAGGTTGTACGGCTTTTGATTTTGGCCAATGCGGATAAGGATAAAGCCAAGCAGGATGGCGCCACCCCTTTGTTCATCGCAGCCCAGAATGGACAGTTGGAGGTTGTAAGACTTTTGCTGGAGGCCAGTGCAGACAAGGACCAGGCTAATCAGAATGGCGCCAGTCCTTTGTTCATCGCAGCTCAGACTGGACAGTTGGCGGTTGTTCGGCTTTTACTAGGGGCCACTGTGGACAAGGACAAGGCCAATCAGAACGGCATCACTCCTTTGTATGTCGCAGCTCAGAATGGATGCTTGGACGTTGTGCGGGCTTTGCTTTGGGCTAATGCTGACAAGGATAAAGCCAGGCATCATGGCATCACTCCTTTGTTCATCGCAGCTTACAAGGGACACTTGGAGGTGGTAAGGCTTTTGCTGGAGGCCAACGCGGACAAGGACAAGGCATTGGAAGATAGCGCCACCCCTTTGTATGTCGCATCTCAGAATGGATGGCTGGAGGTTGTACGGCTTTTGATTTTGGCCAATGCGGATAAGGATAAAGTCAAGCAGGATGGCGCTACCCCTTTGTTCATCGCAGCCCAGCATGGACAGCTGGATGTCGTAAGACTTTTGCTGGAGGCTAGGGCGGACAAGGAGAAAGTCAATCAGAATGGTGCCAGTCCTTTGTTTATCGCAGCTCAGACTGGACAGTTGGAGGTTGTGCGGCTTCTGCTAGGGGCCAATGCGGACAAGGACAAGGCCAATCAGAACGGTGCCACGCCTTTGCACGTCGCCGCTCAGAATGAACAGTCGGAGGTTGTACGGCTTTTGCTTGGCCCATGCGGATAAGGGGAAACCTCATCAGGATGGCAACCCTTTCCTCATTGCAGCTTACAAGGACACTTGGAGGTCGCAATGCTACTGCTGGAGGCCAATGCCGACAAAGCACAAGGCATTGGACAATGGCGCCACCCCTTTGAACGTCGCAGCTCAGAATGGCTGCTTGGAGGTTGTGCGGCTTTTGCTTTGGGCCAACGCGGATAAGGATAAAGCCGAGCAGGATGGGGCCACCCCTTGGTTCATCGCAGCTCCGAACGGACATTTGGACCTGGAGCTTTTAAAACATTTGCTGGAGGCCAGTGCGGACAAGAAGGCCAATCAGAATGCCGACAGATGCCGCCAGTCCTCTGTACATCGCAGCTCAACATGGCCAGTTGGAGTGCCACTCGCTTCTACGTCGTAGCTCAGACTGAGACAGGACAGTCGGATGGAGGTTGTACGCCCTTTGCTTGTGGCCAATGCGGATAAACCCGAAGCCTTAAAGTAAAAGCCAGAAAGTTGGAATATAAGAATCCTAACCACTCTATGGTAAATTATAGGGTATCCTACCATGAAACCATATTCCAACTTTCTGGAGTTCCCTGTAGGCCCTTGTTCCCGTTTTAAGGGTTCATGTTCCCTTATAAGCCCCTTTAAACCAAAAAGGGCACCCTTTTCCTTCATAGGTTACTCTTGGGTCTAGGTTCAGGGCTCGGGATTTAAAGGGGCTCTATAGCCGATAAAGCTCTAGGGTTTGCCGAGATCCCAGAAAGCCAATGTGTTTTAA